GTTGGTCCTCGCAAGGTTTTCGAGACCTGCCACGAATCCACCGTGGCCACGGCAACGCTCCTCCTTGAGCCCCACTCTCTGATGCGGAAAGACGTAGAGTAGCGAAACAAGGACGGCGGAGAGTACTTAAGGGAGACGCGGAGGATCGGCCGAGGAAGGAACGCAGGACGTCGAGTACGTAAGAGTCGCCTCTATGTTTTCTCCCTTTTTCGGTGAGGTCCCTCTTGAGGAACGACAACACGCGTGCATGTTCAGGACAGCCGTGAGTTTCGAGAGGTCGTAGGTGTGCGCATACGTCGGAACGGAGACGGAGGGATGGTGGATAATATAATGATGGCGTCGGCTGGGCGAGGAGGGGCGGGACTACGAGGGGATCAATATTATCCTCCTCCACCTCCACCTCTGCTTCCTCGTCCAGGCTCTCTCTCTCTCTCTCTCTCGCTCTCGCTCTCTCTCTCTTTCCCTCTCGTTCTCTCTGTCGCTCTTTACTTCTCTCTCTCTCTCTCTCTCTCTCTCTCTCTCTCTCTCTCTCTCTCTCTCTCTCTCTGCTTCTCTTTCACTCACTCTCTTCCTCTCCGTTTCTCTACACCCGCGACTAACCTTCCCTCAGATTCCCCTTCGTGTTTCCCCTCCGACGCTACCACCATCCCCATCTCCACCCTATGAATGTCAGTTTTCTCTCCCCTCTGCCGTCGCAGCCTCCTCCTTCGACTCGTCCTTCGGCCTCTCTGTCTCCTGCCTCCTTCGTCGTCTCGCGACGACGACGCGAATTCGCACGAACTCACGCGAATGTTCGCACGATATGGGCGAGAGAGATCGTTAATCTAGACTCACTAAAGCGTAAAGAAACTACAATTTCATGCCACGTCGAGGAATTTATATTCTAGGTGTTTACACGCCGCGCTCAACGATACCTCGGAATTCCTTCGGTGGCGTGTGCCAGTCAATGTGAAGCGGAGCGATTTTTCGAGAGAGGCTTTTAAATATGCATGATTCTTGTCAGTGTAAATTTACGGGCGCTCCTACGGTTGGCGAATATCGCAATTCGCACGCGACTGGCTAAGATCAATATTCGGCGGAGTCTTCGCATTTAAAGTGCGAGCCGGCTCGTCGAAGAAAACCGACGCGCGCGATATTTCACGGCTTCTGTTTATTTGCGGCGAGCGATATCGAATCGACACGATGTGCAGAGCGGGGGAAGCCTCCGCTGCGCGGAATCGATTGATCCGCTTGGGGAGGAATATCTTATAAAGAGCTCGAGGCAGCCCCGGAACGCCAGCAATATTCATTTTATCTCTAGGATTGCGCTAACCTTATCAAACGAGATGTAACCTCGCGCTCGTGTTCTATCACCGAGATTGTTCCAAACTTTACGACCAAAACCAGCCATTTACTACTAGCAGATTAATAAACCTCATGCACGATCGATATTGGAAATAAAATAAAAAATACCAATGCCGTGATGCAAATCGAACTCTAAACATTAAGGAATCTTATATTATTATCGCTTTTAAATGAACAAATGTATACCCATACAGCACAGAAGTTACAGCAATATTGCTGCAACGTTGCTGCAACATTGCAATATTGTTTCGACGTTGCAGCAACGTTGTTCACTTGGTGTGCCGTATGGGTTACGTACGGTCGAGTATCTAAACTCTCAACGTAAAAAGAATACACATGTACATATTCTAGGTTAAAAGTTTAAATAATTGGATGTTTGAAGGCTAAAACACACACACACACATAATAATAAGAAACAAAGTTAGATACGTGTCCTAGAATCGATGCTTTTACCTTACTTAGCAAATGTGTTGTAATGTCAGACCTTGCGTTTGCTTGTAATTTGTCGGCATTAACGGCAATGTCGCAAAGATACCTAGCGGCATCCGAATATTCCGAATCTCAGTTTTACGGAACGGTATCTTACTCGAGGATCGGGGATATCGCTCAAAGAGCGTTCCATTTAAACGGAGCATACTCAAGAGAGAAGCCCGGGCTTCGCAGTCTCGGCCAAGTAAGACAGCTCGACTCTCTTGACCGAGGAACTAACGGCGCGGCGTGGCGCGCAACTTCTGAGCGCAATGGAACAAATCGCGGTTACCCGGAGAGGCCGGAGCCCGATGTTAAGTCACGGGATTACCGCGGACGGGCCGGCGCGGTGTTCAAGGGTGTCTATGTAACGCGTAGACGTATGTGCGGCGCAGAAGACGACCGAGGGAGAGAGCGACGTCGCCGGTGGAATGGGACAGGAGCGGCCGGAGGGGGTGTGATTGATGAGGCACCCCCGGTCACGGTCTCATTACATTTATATAAGCTTTCGTAGATTGAGCTGAGCGTGCGAGCGAGCGAGCGAGCGAGCGAGCGAGCGCGCACACGAACGGAGGCTTACACGGTGGCGAAGGGTCGTGATTTGATGAGGTTTTATTGCCCGAATGACGTGACGGGACCATTGTTCGAGCCGGTTGCCAGGCGGAAAACAGTGGATTCGATTTATCGCGTCTACCGGACCGCCTGCGAGACGTCCTTCGACGTTTTCGACGTGGCCGTGTCGGAAATCGTCCGACGCTCCGCGATTAATCGCCGACTTCGGCGCTTTGCCGAACTTCAGTGGACACAATGCTGTCAAATGACACAGCGACATTGTGTCGCTGTTGCGTCGCAGGATTTTTCAAATCCTCCAACGAGCAACGTCACGTCGTCGCTCAGGAATTCACGTTCAGAGATCGTTGCTTCGTAAGTGCTCGCCCGCGGTTGAGCTCTTGAAAACCAATTACTAATTATACCAGTTAATTATTATCGCAACGGGATTCGGTATATTTATTGTACGCTGAGGGAGCACGGGCGCGATTCCTCTCACGATTCACAGATCACTCGGTCAATAGCTGGGAGCCGCTGGGTCAAGCGATAGTTTCCGCTCGAGATTCGCGCGTACATTCGTCAAAGTTACGACCTTATGAATCGGGCGGGGGCATTAGGATCCGCCCGGTCGTTCCATCTGCCGCTGGTCGAGATTCCGCGGCGCTGTTAAACTTTATGGGCGCGGCACCTCGTGTGTATACGGTGCGCCTTTGCGCGAGAGAGTTTATTGATTCTCGAGTCGCGGCATCTTTCGCCCGCCGTAGTACCATTCTGTCCTATCGAGTTTACTCCCTCCTGGCTTACCGTCGTCGCCCTGGTGTCGCGGCTACCGGGCCGCTTCGTAAAATTCAATGATGTTCCACGAGCGGCTTACCAATGCGAGGAAGAAAAAAAAAACGGAACACAAAGAAATACGCCGGCAGCCGTAAGCCAGCCGCGAATTCAGATCGCGGATGAGGCCATTTTCGGCGCGCTGAGAAAAGAACACGCGACAACACGATGTGTTCGCACCGCGCAAGCGGAAGATCGCGCGCGGACGATGAAACGTCGCGGACGGGAAATGCGGTGGAAAATCAGGAACAAACACGCGCGGACTAACGAGATTCCACGTTGAGAGCTCGATTGCGTCACTCGCGACCTCTCGCGATGCTGCTCACTGCCGCTCCGTCCATCATGTTATTCCGTGAAAACTCTGCCGTCCGGTTACGCAATCAAGGCTACTAGAAAATTCGAGCTGCTACACGACGTCCCGGGAATAATCATCAAGAGAGAAGGGACATTATTCTTCATTAGCCAGTCTTTCACCCTCCCCTCCCCCACTTTCAATGACCCGTCGCGCCTCTTAGCGTTTCCACGGCGCGATCGTGAGGCCATCCATCTTGCGGAGTATTCTCCGACCTCCTTCAGCGCTGTTTCACCCTCGATACCGACCTTCCTTCCTTCCTTCCTTCCTTCCTTCCTTCCTTCTTTCCTTCCTCCTCGCCCGCTAGAACCCTCCGTCCGCTGAATACTTACTCCATCGACCCTCCGTATGTCGCATTTTCCCGCTCCTTGCCTTACAGTTACGCGAGAGCGACGTGTATCTGAGCGCAACCATCCGTATAATTGTTGGGGGCGAGCAGGGACAACGGGCGTCGTTGAGGAAGAGAGACGCCGTAGCCGTCGGAGTACGTCGGGATGGGCTTGAGGCTGAAGGGCGAGTCGAGATGAGAGGAGAGGGTGGAAACGGCTGACAAGGTTCGCCGTGGTATCGAGCGAGCGCGCGAGCGCGTAAGCGAGAGAGGACCGCCTTGAATTAACGCCGTCATATTTCAGGATGGAGAAGCTCGCCGGGGTTTTCTTGCTATTTGTCTCAGGACTCCGCCGTTTACCGGAGCACCGTCGGGGCGGAGGAAGCGCCGTTTTGCTTCCTTCGTTGCGTCTTCGTGACTAATAACCCTGAGCGTTCGCTCTCGCGAAATCTGGCGAGAGACGCTATACGCGTTGCTGCGCGCTTCTTGAAGAAGAAGTTCTCCTCCGCCTCCTCTTGTCGCTCTCGCGACGCGCCAGCTTGTATATACGTTAACGACGAAATCTCGGGAGAGAGGGGGGAGAGTAGAGTTCGTCTACCGTGACAAAGCGAATTTCGTAGGGTTGCCTGCAACGCTGTTTATACGCGTCGAAGTAAAGAACGGAGCGGATCATAGAGAGAAGGTCGACGATTACCGGCGAATTTACGTCCGCAAGTTTCGCGGACGAGAGGATTGGCCGTATTTTTTCGTGCGACCTTCAGAACGTGCGTGTCCGTCTTGCTCTTCTCTAATGGGAGAGACAATTCTCCCGTTGGGAAAGAAATTCTGCCATTGAACTCTTCCGCCCACGAGTACACAATCGGACGATGAAAGGTTGCGACATTTTCAACTCGAAGAGTTTCGCAACGCATCCCGATGGTATCCAACGGGAGAAGATCTCTCTCGCGAGAAACGCCGGGAAATAAATGCTCCCCCGTTGGATACGTCGCGAAGCTCGTTGCGAAGTAAAACCGTGTCGCAAGCTTTAATCCCGCGAATGAAGCTCGATCGAATTACTGCGTAAGAGCTCCCCGCGATGAATAGACGCTTGTTATATACAGCCGCAACGCTCCCTGCTTCTACTTCCAGGTCTGGTTCAAGAACAGACGGGCGAAATGGCGGAAGAAAGAGCGGAACGCGATGAACGCCGCCGCGCAGGCCGCGGCGGACTTCAAGTCGGGCTTCAGCACGGCCAGTCTGAACGGCTTCATCACCCAGCCGTTCCCCGACCCGGACACCCTCTACGGCTCGTACAGCACGTACAACAACTGGGCGACCAAGGTGCCGTCGCCATTGAGCGGCAAGAGCTTCCCTTGGATGAACACGTTGGGCTCGGTGGTGCCGGCCGCGTCGCACCATCACCATCACGCGCAGGTCAGCCCGGTGAATTGCTTCAACGCCGCGGCGACGTCGGTCGCGGGCAGCCACGTCGGTGGCATGTCGGTGTCGGTCGGCCAAGCGGCCACGTCCATGTTGCCGGGCATGGGTTCCGGTCTGGGCGTCGCGAGTTCACCGGTCGCAGCGTCCGGTGCGGCGTGTCCTTACGCCGCGCCGGCGGCGCCGCATCATCCTTACGGGCCGCCGGTCTACACGCCGCACCATCGGACGGCGGCACCGCCGGAATCCTGCACGGTCATGACCTCCAGCAGCATCGCTTCCTTACGGCTCAAGGCGAAGCAGCACAGCAGCGGCTACGGCGGCGGCGGCGGCGCTGGCGGCGGTGGCGGCGGCTCGTTCAGCGCAGGCGGTACCGCCGGTACCACGGCCGGCAGCATAAGCCCCGTCAGCTCGAGGGCATCCTCCGTCGGGGGCGGTGGCGGCGGCGGCGGCGGCGGCGGCGGCGGTGGCGGTTTAAGCGCCTGTCAGTACGCGTTGACGACGGCGGCCGGCGCGAACCCACATTCCCCGGGTGGTCCTGAGGCGCACGCCAACGCCACCGCCAGGGCTCAAGTCTGAGGTGACGCGGGGGCTACTTCTAGCCCCCATCATCACAGCGTAGCGTCCAATTCCGGGAACTCCCTCGGCGGTGGCGGTAACCAAGTGGTACCTTCCGCCGCGGCCATCTCCGGTCAGTCGGCCGACAATCAGCTGAGGTCGCAAGAGTGACCCAGGCCTAGGTCCGCCGCCTCGCCGACGTTGTCGTCAACCCCGTCGTCGACGACTTCGCACCCGCATTATCTCTTATACGACGAAGATGGTGCCGCGGCGGACCACAAGATGGAAGACGAGCGAAGTATCCTCGGGGTGAACAGCATGGTGAACGCCGAGCAGGTGGTGGCCGCTGCCGCCGGCAGCATCCCGGTGGGAGTCGGGATCGTCAGCGGAACCGGCACCGCCACCGGCGGCGGTACCGGGCTCGCCGGTTATTGGCAACACGCTACCACCGCCCCCACCTATTGGCCGTCGTTGTTCGACTGCTGGACGACGCCGCAGATCGCATCCGGCTCGCAGACGCAGCCGCGGGACGACGATTGAGGCCAGTAAGATTCTATCGAATTACGGCTGCCCCCCCTCCGGCTGCCCTACTCGTTCAGCTCGAGCAACTCTCGCCTCGGTCGTCGCGGCCGCGACGCCGCGCCGCGCCGGCGGCCCGGCGAGCTGCGAATTCCGCGCGGAGTGCGAACACACCCGAGGCGAGTTCGAGTTTAAGACGGAGTACAAATCTTGAGTTTCCGTCGCGACGACAAGTACACTTAATCCCCCGATTCTCTTTCCCCGGCACCGCTGCCTCGAACGAGGGTGCCGGGAACGTACCACCCGTAATTATTCCCATAATTCATAATCACGATGCGTGTACATACACATACATATATATATATATATATATATATATGTATATGTTTGTGTGTGTGTGTGTGTGTGTATGTATATGTATATGTATATATTATATGTCGTGATGGAAAGAAAATTGCGCGCAGTATATTGTTTGACACACACGGGAGACACACGAGACGCGCGCGAGGGCCGAGTTTCCGTGAGTCGCGCGCGACGCGCGCGAATGCGCTAATTGTATACGATGGCATTCTCTCTCGGGTGAAGCTTTTTCCCGTAACGTAACGGCGCGAAAGATCGGGGGATTAAACTCCGCCGAGCGCGACGGAGGCGCGGAAAACGCGAAATGGGCTGATGAGGATCCCACGGGGATCATCACGCGTACTCACTCTATTCTGTAGATATATGTATAGTAGACGCCCGCGGGCGTTCCGCGCCGCGGGCGTAACTGTATACCAAAATTGTTACATTGCAATGACGATAATAACAATTATTCAGCAGAATACCAAAATCTTGTAGGCTATAAGTGAGCGAATACGGTCGATACGTTGTACAGTGTACGGGCGAGGGAGAGTATCCTATCGAGGCTAGGCGTACATTATAAATATGAATTAGTATCGTGGAATAATTATAATTAATATTCACACACACTCACACACACACACACACACACACACACACATACACACAGACAGACACGCACACAGAGTATCCTCTCTCGCGGGGCGCGCGTGTAATTTGGATTTTTCAAGTCCGTCGATCCCTCTTCCCTTTCGTACTCTTTATCGTTCCAACGAAAGCGTTTCACTTGTCACACGTATCCCTTGATTGCGTCATTAGAGAGGCATTGAGCCTACCAACGAAAGAATGTCCTATTTTTATAAGTAGCTTATTATTTGATAGACCACAGCTGTGAGAAAAACAAAGCCAAAGTTAAACCTAAAAATATATATATATATATATATATATATATATATTACATATGTAAAGCGAAAAACGAATGTGCCGCGCGGAGGGCTACTGGAAGCGGAGGAGATAACTGTATAAATTACGATGTAACGGGGTGGGGTTTTTTCTGAGGGGGGAGGGGGGTGGGTGGGAGATCGATGATGCGTCGGGGCGAGATTCTGACGGGGGTGAGACGACGACACCGATCGCGAATCGATCGGCTTACGATGGTCGACGGAGCGACGACGGCCGGCGATCGCCGACAGATCGAGACGTAGTCACGTAAGGTAGGCGTAAGAAACGACCGCTATTTTGTATGAATCCCGATGTCGTACAAATGTTTCGTCGTAATCACATATCCCGGTCCCTGCGGTGAGTGATCCGTAACGTCACGCAGAATGTTTTCATTCCCGTTTGTCACCTCACTCACTACGTGTAAACGTTCCTACTGGGCGATATTGAGCGCCGTAAAGGCCCCGTTTGTAATCTAGTCACAATAAAAACCAATTCTATTCTAAAAAGTCGAAACGCCTCGGTAATGCAAACCCTGCCCACGCGCGCGAGCGTCGCCGCGCCTGGAGAGAGGATTAAAAACCTCGCGTCTTACGCGACCACCGTGCCAAGGGGAACGGGGGAGGGGACATGCCAACATGCGTTGGCAGAGGGGGGCGATCGGGGAAGGAACCAAAAATCGTCGTAAGGTAGAGAAGCCACCGGGGGAATGCCGGGACGCGCGGCTGACTCTGGTTCTCTGTGTCCTTGTCGTTCTCTCTTTCGCCTCTAGATCCGCATACTTGAACTTCCAACACGCAAGAATACGCACGCACGATTGCCGAGAGTCCAAAGATATTCGTATTTAAAGAGCAGAAACAATCGTAATATCCAGAGAATTAGCTACGTGTCCCGGCATTGTTGCTTTTGTGCCTCTGCGGTTGGCGGTTCCAATGAAGGCGAGGGGAGAGTTGCACGATTAAAAATTGCCTCGACGCGAACAACATTTCTCTACCAATGGAAGATGAGAGGAGGGGGGAGAAAGAAAAAAGACTAAACCGTTTGCCATGTCGTACGGACGTGTCGCGCGCCGTTTCCTCGCGCGCGCGCGCGCGCGCGCGCACGCGTTATGTCACGGAGTAATAAAGCGCTGTTGTTCAAACGAGGGCCAGGGGGAGGGAGCGAGATACCGGCCAATGAATGCCGATACATGATCGCGCTATTTATGGGTAGTTAGTTATGCCGGCGTGCCCCTCGGACATTGAGGGGGCATCGATAACCTATGCGGAATCCACATGCATGCCGGGCGTGTAACGTATTGCATTACGGCGGTCGGGACGCGGCGATAAATTATGCACCCTCGGCTGGCACGCGAGGGGTCGCACACCCCTCTCTAGCGCTAAACTAAACTAAACGTATATTACAGTGTGATCGCAGCGGCGGAGGCGGAGGCGGAGGCGGAGGCGGAGGCGGCGGCGGCGGCGCGGGCGGCGGCGCCGTTAATGGCGCGGCAGTTATAAGATGTTGCACACGAGTGGCTCGCCCGGTTTATGCATACACGACACCCGACCGGCGCGAAAGAACCGTCGCGTTTGCAATCCCGGAGTCGGAGCGGTTAATTGCGTTGCAATTACGCTCGTCGTAATTCGACGAGCGGCCACGTCGATGCTCACCGCGATCGCGACTCTGCGACTCTTATCCGGGCCCTTCCGCCCGTTCTTCTTCCCTTTTCCCTTCGACTTTTTTCCGTTTCTTCTTTTCTGTTCTTTTCTTTCCGACTCGAGATCTCGGAACGCTCTCCTCTGAAGAGAGATTCCTTCTAATTGTGAGTCCAACGTACAAAGAACGTTTTATCTCTCTCTGTAATTTATCTCCTTCTGTAATCTTATCGCTCATACGCGTAAGGTACACGGCACTCTTTCCTCAAAAATCTCTCAGCCGTGACGAACTCTTTTATAACATCGGTGTACTATTTATGGACAGACGAGATTTCTCTCTTCGCGCTCTTCGCGCGCACTTGTATATCACGTCGATACAAAAATTTGAAGAGAAGGCACAGTCGCGAGAACACACACACGCGTGCGCGTGCGAAGCGAACCCGGCTCGTACCCGATTTGGAGTTCGCGTTGGGAAAAAGGAGGGAGCGAAGAAAAAACCTCGACACTTTGTCCTCGTACATTATTTTAAGATTATTGGACAACACCTACTTTGTAGTCGGATGAAAATTTTTAGTGACGCTACGTCTCGCACAAAAATAAATGAAAAAGGGGAGCCCTCTTCTCTCTTCGCAAGAGATGTCCCACTTTCTTCTCGCCTCGCCTCGCCTCGCCGCCCGTAACAACGAGTCACCTCCCCCGCCCAGCCCGTTCGCCGGTCTCCAATTCGGAGGGCAGGTAATTCGGTTCTCCTTTCGGTCCGCCTTCCCGTGCATCCCCGACCGAACATTTGAATACGGACGAGCTCCGGCGACGTGGCAGGAAAACGAGAGGCAGGGGGGCAGACGTGAGAGGAGTTCGGGAGGGCGAGGGGAGTAGACGAAACGAAGTAGGCGCTGGGGCGCGGCGGGCCGCAACCCTGCCACATCCACGTTTCTCCGGCGAAATGACCTTCGCCGGTAAAAAGACGTGCCGGGACTGTCATCGTCTTCGGCGGCTTACGAGCAGTCGCCGTAACTCCCGAAACTTCTCCGCGCCGAGTGAAAGCGCGGGCGGCGAGCGAAGACGAAGGAGGGTGAGCGCCATCACGAGCCGGCGAGAGGAGGCCGGGAACACGGGCCCGTTGAGATTCGAGGATTTACCCGCGGAATAAAACCCGATACAGCCTCGTGAATATGTTGTCTTACTTGCTACGCGCTCACACTCTCCCATGGGCGACGGCGCGAGCTCTCTTCGCGTGCACCGAGAGTGCGTACGCACGCACTCTCATGGGCGGAAAGACTGAGCGATTTTTCGTCTGACTTCCCGAACGTATCCGTCTGGACCAACGGGCGAGAATATCTGCTGGATGCGTTCCGCGACTTCCCCAGTCGATATTTTCACCCTACTTTTCACCCCGATATTCCACTTGGCGGTAATTTCATAATCTCAAGCCTCAATAATATCGAGCTATTAAATTCGAGTTAACTCGCGCAACTTCGTCAAGAGACTCTTTACAGCTTATAAATTGTACTTTCTGCCATTCAGAGACGCCAAGTAGAGGAAATTACAGTATCTACATGAACTTAAATTTCACCGTTCTTGAGTTTCGAAAATTTTGATTCCAC